CTGAACAGCCAGAAGAGTAGATTAAGGTAGAATGGATCCATTACTTAGTTCTTTGTTCCCTGGTGATCATAAAATGATAGAATTGTAGAATTGTAATGGGCCAAGAGGGCCATTGGGTCCAACAGTTCAGAAGTTCATGTTAACCCATTCTTATGCAATGGCTGTCCAATCGCATCTTGAATGCCTGTAATGCAGAAGAGTCCACAACCTCCCCAGGTAATTTTTGCATTGTTATATTGTTCTGACAGTAAGGAGGTTTTCCTGATTTTCTGACAGTAAGGAGGTTTTTTAGCCAGAAACTCTCTCCCTGTAACTTGAGTCCATTATACCATGCCCTGCACTCTGATCTTCCTCTTTGTGACAACATTTCAAGTACTTGAAGAGTGCTATTATATCTCCTCCCTATCTTCCCTTCTCAAGGCTAAACATGTCCATTGCTTTACATCTGTCCTCATAGGACTCGTCTTCCAGTCCCTGGATCATCTCTGTTGCCCTCCTCTGAATCCTTTCCAGCTCATCATCTTTCTTAAATGGTGATGCCCAGAACTGCTGTGGCACGCAAATGTTTTTAATAGATACATTAACTGGACATGGTCCTCCAGATGAGGCTTGCCATTGCTGAGAAGAGGGAAATTAGTATTTCACATGATTTGGAAGTGATACTTCTATTACTGTAGCACAAATAAGTGTCACACTACCAAATAAATTAATAAAACAGCTCATACTGTTCTTCTTATTGCTCTAAAAAGAAAATGGAACTTTGCACAGGACTTTATCATAGTTTTTGTCTGGACAAAGCATTTAGCATTCATACTGTGATAAAGAAATATCCTGACGGTAAATAGGGATCCTTGGATCACAAGCTTATTCCAGTGGCATTCTCCTGTAGCACATATATTGAAATAATATCCATATTAGTGCCACAAAGGCAAATTCACAGGTTATGGGCCATGTAGAGTAGGTCTGAGTTCTGCTATCCTGGGCTAGCCAGTGTGAATGAGATAAGGAGGAAGAGTGAACCACAGAAGCCGGGATTCTTGTGCAGAAAAGGTCAGGCATACGACTTGTCTCCATAGAG